TTCGTTGGAATCTTCAATGAAGGTTCACAATAGTTCGCTTATTGCGTTGGTAACATTTTTTTTTTTACTGGCCGATGTGGTTGGTCAGCATAACTATGATGGCCGAGGTAGAGAAAATAGTGTTGTTGTTTTGCGTACATTGCGGCCAGTATAGGCCAGCAACTTGCTGTTTTTTGCCGTACTTGCGAGCCGCCGAAAAGGCCTAATATTAGAGACCACTTTTATTTTAAAGCTTTTATACTTAAAATTTGGGCATTTGCTGTTATTTTGCATGTTAATATGGCATTTACACTGGCCGTAAATGACTCATTTTAAATTAGTCATTTGAAAGTGTTTACATTCGTTGTTATTTATGTGTTCTCATTTCAAAAAGCTGATTTGCCAATGTGCCTGTTTATTTGATTTTTGGTTTGAGACAACAAAATGTTGGATTAAGGTAAAATATACTTTTAAACTTTACAATATATACTGAAAACTTATTTTTAGCTTCGATTAAGTACATTTTGGGAAGTAGCAGTTCCAAAAAGAGGTGCATCCTTTTCAAGGAAATGCAACCACCAAATATTTGTTTACCTAAACATGTCAAAAATAGCTTTCTCAAACTGTCAAAACGATATGAAGCATTTATATTAAGGGTATGTTCAATGTATTCCTTTGCATTTGGAAAATATTTGGAACACATCCGAACGTCGTTGGGACGCATTCATACAGAATGTGATGCAATGGCACATTCGCGCTTGCAATTTTGTATGCAAGTATGACCCATTCGCTTCTCATTTCCGATTTTTGACCAAAATGAGCCATTTGAGACCAGTGTAAATGCCATATTACTTTCCCTCAAATACATATTAATTTTTGAGTTATTTATTCCATGTATTATAAAAATGTGACATATACTTTTATACTTACTAACATAATTAATTAAACAATATTAGCGGCGGAGTAAAAATGCAACAGTGCGGAATAAATAGTGTCCAAAGGAAATGCAAACCCAGTTTTATTATAGAATCTTTTTATTTACTTTAGCCGTTATTTTTGCATATTGTTGTTTTTGCAAGAACGAAAAACAAAAAAGGAATAAATGGAAGAAGTTGACTGAATTGTTGTTTTTGTTTATAAATTCAGTTAAACGTTTGTTTACGTTTAATTTGTATACGTTAATGCATTCATTTGTATTAATTGAATTAGTTTCTGAGTTTAAAATAATTAATTGTTTTTATAAACTTTTACTATCTGTAAAAAATATTTACATTTTCAAGTCGGTCGAAGAAGCTGTTATATTAATGGTTTCTTCAAAACTTCTATGTACATACATACGTATGTACGTACATATACCATATGCCAGTTTTCCTTGTTAAATTGAATTATGCGTAATAATAATTAATATATCAGTTTAAAATAACATACATATGTATGTAGATAGATTTAAGAATAGTATTTCTGTTTAATAATAAATTGAATAAGCCTAGAATTCACATGCATTTCAGTTTATTATTTCACGCCTATATTTTATGATGCTTTTTTTTTATGAATATAGTATTAAGTTGAATTGTTTAATAAATATTAATAAAATTTTGTTTTATCAGTTTACTTTACTCTTTATTGACATTTTCCATTATCTTCTTTAGTCTTTGTTTTTATATTGCTTTATTTGAAAATATTTCAGTGAGGACAATTTACATACATAATATAAATTAGAATAGAAAATTAATACAAATTTAAATTTTAATATTTTTTTAAAAAAATTTTTTTTTATAATTAATAAATATTATTTATAAAAAATAATATTTATTTTGTAATTATATTTTTTTTAAATTAAATTATTTAATTATTTTTCCTATATACATATATAACTATATATTAAATTATTATATTTATATAAATAGTATATTTATATTACACATGTATGTATGTATATTTAGAACAATTAGAAATAATAAATACTTTTTAATGTGTGATTTTGTATACACATATATATATGTATATAATTCTAATAATAGCAATTATGATAATTTCTTATTTATAGTTATTTTTCTAAATAACATACATTTCATAATAAATGGGAATGGTTGTTATTTACATTGATCAGTTGCACTTACTTGCTTTCACCGTTGGATGATTAACAACATATACTAAGCCTATCCGCTCTTCTCTCTATCCTTCATTACTGGAATTAAGTTGCATTCGCTGAACGTATTCGCAATCTTCCACAATCATCATTAGATGATGATTAATAATATCGCGTTACAAAATATCCTAGTGGAATATTGGAAGCACTAGTTATACATACTATGTCATAGAAATCTATATTCTAACAAATGTAATTCAAACTGTTAATGGAAACCTGTATTGTATATTACATTTATTTCGGTGATTTATGAATGCTTATTGAAAATGAACGTTACAGTGTGTTTAATCGCTGTTAACAAAAGCTACTTTTTAAGTTATTTATAAAGTGGAAAGTGATTGGTGTGAACAGGCTCTAAATGTTATCAAAGTTCATATCAAGAAGTAGTTAATCTAATTAATGCATTTGATAAGGATGCGATATCTGCTTGGATTTGTTTTTTTTTTGTAACAATACATAGATTTAATTGAGTATTGTAAATAAGTAAATTTATTTAGTATTATATTAGTATTATATAAATATATATATGTAATTGAGCGTAATGATATATTTTAATTTTATTTTGAAGAAATTTTAATATTACATGTTAGAGTTTTTACTCAATTAGTTTAACTTAAAATAAATGATTTCTATATATAAATTTTGAATTGCTTTCATTATATGTGAAGCAGATTTTCAATGAGATCTTAATAAATAATAAATTCATTAGAAGGTTATGTGTAATTATGCGAGAGCGGTTTGATAAGTCAGTGACTTTTTGAATTTCCCGCGCAGTTACTCCAAATGCAACAGTGCTGCCGTCAGCTGTAATCTACCAGTGGGCAACTATTTAATTTTGAGCAAGTTACGTCGTTCAGTTGGTGTTTAATAGCCGTTTAAAGCAGACAACCTCGTGAATTTTTACGAAAATGGAAAAAAGTAAATTTCGTATGCTGATTAAGCATTGTGGCCAAAATCCACGAATTGGGATACAAACTGCTACCCATCCAGCATATTCTCCAGATTTAGACCCTCCGTCTACTTTCTGTATTCAAACCTACAGAAATGGCGAAATTCACTTTTTCCATTTTCGTAAAAAAGTAAGAAACAAATTTCTAGTTTTCAGTTTTATAAAGTGTTGGAATACAATAAAGTAAATTCTGTATCGTGAATATAGCATTTGTGACTTTTATTCTACTCAAGAATTTAAACATAAGTTATGGAAAACCGCTATATATTGGTGACCCCGACGTGATCTTAACGCGCAGCCGACGTGGTGGTAGACCACGAAGCGACGAATCTCGGTATTCCCGGTATTGAATAGTTGTTAGAAAAAAGAATAACTAAATTGAGTTAAGGACGTATCACAATTATAGTAAAAACTGGTAGAGGTTGCCTGTTGTTTGAATAGTCATTGTAAGAGTGTTTTGAATGGATCCTTTGTTTATATTGCTTTTCATATGTCAGTAAGTCGGTTTCTGAAAATATGACAAGGTAGAAAATAAAAAAATCGTGCAGAAATATCTTAAGTTAATATAATAATTCTTATGTACACGATATATAATTTAACTTTTGAATAAAGTAGAAGTGTTGCTGAAAAGCAACACTAGAAGCTTTATTTAAAATTTAGACACTTTTCGAATAGCAAAGAAAGTAAAAAACTGGCAGAAATCCTGGAACATGAGCAATAAACGTTTGTACAACCTTACTTACTGGTGGAAAAACACGACTAGTCATAGGTTCTAATTCTTCAGGCACGAACTCTAAGCCTGCCACTTCCAGTCAATACAAATTATTAACGAACTATAAACAAAAAAAAAAGAAATTCGAATATTTCTCAAGACCACTGATGATGACGACTTGACAATACTCAAAATAGCATTGTATTGTCCGACGAATTCCACTAAATTAATCAAACTTTTGTACTTGTCTATTCGTTGCTATTCCAATTCTTCCAAAAAATAAATAATATATTTTAAGTGATTTAAGTTTAATCTGTTCTAGTAATCTTTTTAATTGATGATAAATCAATAAAATTTAAAAATCTTTATATCTCTGTGTTTAGATAGTATATCAATATTTGTAAAATTTTGTTTTTGTAAAAAACGGATTTAGAACATTTTATCCTTGAAATATTGAAATATTTGTAAATAATCTTTAACTATAACACCGATACTTAGGAATATAATTTGCACCACTACAATAACAAATAACAGAAATAATATAATAAATTTTTAAAGTTTCATTCAGATTTTCGTGACATTTGCTGAGTAATTGTATTCATAACTCTTTAAGTTGAATTAGGGGGTTAGTGAAGAAAAGAAACAAGAGCAAATTCTAATGAACGGCTTAACGCGCAACTCAAAAATAAAATGATAAATTTTAGCAAACGCATCATATGTGCAGGTATGATTAAATGAAAAGAAATTTTCAAGAACACGAAGCTTAAGCCGGCAATAAACCATCAAAAACAATGGATCTGGCTTAGTAGACAACATTCCATTAATGAATGGATGATTATTGATATCTGTATTATTTTTTTCTTAACTTCTAACTCTCTTCTTTTCGATGTGTAGTAGGTAGCACATACAGCCGGTATGTGGGAAGTACTTATGGACTTAAACGTAGTTACGCCCATGTATTAAATAGTATTAACTAGTTCTTGTTCTTGTAATATATATAGCATTGATATAGAGTATTTGGTATTTCGTACTTACAACCTTAATAGAAAATATTTATATATTCCTCTCGCATGACTTTTTAAAAGTATAAAAGAGGGACACAACACCTCAGACCTTATCAATCACAACTCAACGTGAGATAAGTAAAGAGCTCCAAATCTGATACGACTATTTACATTTTCATTAACAATAATTTGAATAGAAATTAAATAATGGCTGAAGTATTCGAATCTAAGTTTTCAATTCGTTCTATATTATCGGACACAAAGTCCTCTTTGGAGATAGAAAGTAAAACTTCGACGGAAGAATGGGCCATAAGTTCATGTGATATTACTTCTTCAGATGAAACATTATCGGATGAATCTACATTCACTAATGAGAAACCAGCGTATACATACAGTTCACTGATTGTTATGGCCATACGTAGCAGTCCTGATAAACGTTTAACATTGGGCGGGATATGTGAGTGGATAGCTAATAACTTTCCGTACTATCAAAATAACAGAAACAAGTGGCAGAATTGCATTCGGCACAATCTAAGCTTGAATAAATATTTTGTGCGAATACCTCGGGCGTTAGATGATCCAGGACGTGGTCACTATTGGGCAATAGATCCATCAGCGGAAGACGTAACTATTGGGGAAACCACTGGCCGCTTACGTCGGAATAATAATTCAACGTTAAATGATTCAAGAGCAACTTTACATTGCGGTGGTGGTTACTCGTACGGACATCCTTATCACCAAAGCAACACAATACCGTATAACTCTCATTACTCTCCAAACGCTGTGTATTTTCCGACTCCAGAAGAAGTTCGTTTTGTACAAGAAGCTGTACTACAAAAACAACAAGCTTTAAACAACTTTCACCCCCAGCTCCCAACTGAAGACCAAATTGCAGTACAATATCAATTTCAAGTTCAACAAACACTTTCTGCTGAGTGCGGGTGCAATCTCCAACAATGTACTATGTTGGGGGACTTCCAATGTAATATAATTCAAGGAAATAATTTTTTAATTTATTTATTTCATAAAGAAACTGTTAATTTGTACATAGTAATAATATGATATAAGATATTTTGGTAATTGTAATTGTTCAATGTATATAAATTTCATAATATATTAATAGATGTGAATGCTTAAGCAAATTTCTTCTGTTTTTTATTTAAAAAATGATTAATATTTTATTTGCATAAGGTAATTGGGAAGATATTTCAAACATTTGAAAATTAAGTAGTAATGTAATATTATTGAATTATCCTAATACTCGTACATAAACTAAGAAAACATATTTATTAGATTGTCAAACTGAGAAGTTCTGGATAAAGTTGAATGGACCGATGTAATTGGGGTATTGAGCTATGATATGAATCGAAAATTCAACAATGCTGATTATATATTTTATATATATTTCTCCATTGTGAATTTTTTTGGTATTAAAATTAAATTGAATTTATAAGTTTTGTAGATGATTTATTCATGAATTGAATTTTCCAACTTAAATTTATGTGCTTTCACATTAGAAACTGGAGAAAATATGGTAGATATATTTATTTTTCATTAATTTATTTTCAGTCCAGCAGTAGATACATCACACACACTCATAAATTATTTATTATTTATATAATATTTTTGAGTAAGTTTCCAGCTTTATATAATAACGAAAGATCGAAGATCTATTGTACAAAAAAAGTTTCCTAATGAAAATGATAACGAGATACAATCAGATATTTCATTAGCGGCATATACCATATCGAATAAATTTTTACTTCAGACCTAAAAAATAAATAATAAAATTAATTTGAAAATATTTATTAAGTAAATAATAAATATTTTAAAAATATCAATTTTATGTTTTTTTTTACGTGGAATTCTTGTTACAAATTACAAAATTTCCAATACAAATAAATGGATTAATATTATGAATAGATAGTCAGTAAATAGATCAATTAAATAATAAAATAATAATTTATAATACTACACTATTCTGTATTATACTGTACTACAATATATGTTATAGAAAATTTTTTGTGTCAGAGACTTTGTGTGTTGAAACGAAGCAAAGTCCGTGTTTCAGTTTTGACTTAGTATTGTCGTCCATTGATATACATATTTCGGTATCATAAAAGTGCTTATTACAATATACTATATGATTCGAAATATTTTTAGTAGGTGGGAAGTACCAAACAACAAGTGTGAATCTTAAGAAATGTCGTTGTGGATTCGTTGGACCTGGTCTCTAAAAACATGAGAAGGTACAATATATAGAAAGAATTGTGCAAAAATATTATATATATCTTAGGTTGAAGTAATAATTTTTAAGTAAATTTTAGTAAAATACAAAATAAGTCTTGAGACTAGTTTGTTTTAGGCGATTTAAGTTTAATCTGTTCTAGTAATCTTTTTAATTGATGATAAATCAATAAAATTTAAAAATTTTTATATCTCTGTGTTTAGATAGTATATCAATATTTGTAAAATTTTGTTTTTGTAAAAAACGGATTTAGAACATTTTATCCTTGAAATATTGAAATATTTGTAAATAATCTTTAACTATAACACCGATACTTAGGAATATAATTTGCACCACTACAATAACAAATAACAGAAATAATAGATTTTTAAAGTTTCATTCAGATTTTCGTGACATTTGCTGAATCCACTGCTATAAGACTGATTGTATTCTTAACTCTTCAAGTTAAATTAGGGGGATTAGTGAAGAAAAGAAACAAGAGCAAATTCTAATGAACGGCTTAACGCGCAACTCAAAAATAAAATGATAAATTTTAGCAAACGCATCACATGTGCAGGTATGATTAAATGAAAAGAAAATTTCAAGAACACGAAGCTTAAGCCGGCAATAAACCATCAAAAGCAATGGATCTGGCTTAGTAGACAACATTCCATTAATGAATGGATAATTATTGATATCTGTATTATTTTTTTCTTAACTTCTAACTCTCTTCTTTTCGATGTGTAGTAGGTAGCACATACAGCCGGTATGTAGGAAGTACTTATGGACTTAAACGTAGTTACGCCCATGTATTAAATAGTGTTAACTAGTTCTTGTTCTTGTAATATATATAGCATTGATATAGAGTATTTGGTATTTCGTATTTACAACCTTAATAGAAAATATTTATATATTCCTCTCGCATGACTTTTTAAAAGTATAAAAGAGGGACACAACACCTCAGACCTTATCAATCACAACTCAACGTGAGATAAGTAAAGAGCTCCAAATCTGATACGACTATTTACATTTTCATTAACAATAATTTGAATAGAAATTAAATAATGGCTGAAGTATTCGAATCTAACTTTTCAATTTGTTCTATATTATCGGACACAAAGTCCTCTTTGGAGATAGAGAGTAATACTTCGACGGAAGAATGGGCCATAAGTTCATGTGATATTACTTCTTCAGATGAAACATTATCAGATGAATCTACATTCACTAATGAGAAACCAGCGTATACATATAGTTCACTAATTGTTATGGCCATACGTAGCAGTCCTGATAAACGTTTAACATTGGGCGGGATATGTGAGTGGATAGCTAATAACTTTCCGTACTATCAAAATAACAGAAACAAGTGGCAGAATTGCATTCGGCACAATCTAAGCTTGAATAAATATTTTGTGCGAATACCTCGAGCGTTAGATGATCCAGGACGCGGTCACTATTGGGCAATAGATCCATCAGCGGAAGACGTAACTATTGGGGAAACCACTGGCCGCTTACGTCGGAATAATAATTCAACGTTAAATAATTCAAGAGCAACTTTACATTGCGGTGGTGGTTACTCGTACGGACATCCTTATCACCAAAGCAACACAATACCGTTTAACTCTGATTACTCTCCAAACGCTGTGTATTTTCCGGCTCCAGAAGAAGTTCGTTTTGTACAAGAAGCTGTACTACAAAAACAACAAGCTTTAAACAACTTTCACCCCCAGCTCCCAACTGAAGACCGAATTGCAGTACAACATCAATTTCAAGTTCAACAAACACTTTCTGCTGAGTGTGGGTGCAATCTCCAACAATGGGAGACTTCCAATGTAATATAATTCAAGGAAATAATTTTTTAATTTATTTATTTCATAAAGAAACTGTTAATTTGTACATAGTATTAATATGATATAAGAAATTTTGGTAATTTTAATTGTCCAATGTATATAAATTTCATAATATATTAATAGATGTGAATGCTTAAGCAAATTTCTTCTGTTTTTTATTTAAAAAATGATTAATATTTTATTTGCTTAAGGTAATTGGGAAGATATTTCAAAAATTTGAAAATTAAGTAGTAATGTAATATTATTGAATTATCCTAATACTCGTTCATAAACTAAGAAAACATATTTATTAGATTGTCAAACTGAGAAGTTCTGGACAAAGTTGAATGGACCGTTGTAATTGGGGTATTGAGCTATGATATGAATCGAAAATTCAACAATGCGGATTATATATTTTATTTATATTTCTCCATTGTGAATTTTTTTGGTATTAAAATTAAATTGAATTTATAAGTTTTGTAGATGATTTATTCATTAATTGAATTTTCCAACTTAAATAAACAGATATTATAAGAATTAAAACTTCATTTATGTGCTTTCACATTAGAAACTGGAGAAAATATGGTAGATATATTTATTTTTCATTAATTTATTTTCAGTCCAGCAGTAGATGCATCACACACACTCATAAATTATTTATTATTTATATAATATTTTTGAGTAAGTTTCTAGCTTTATATAATAACGAAAGATCGAAGATCTATTGTACAAAAAAAGTTTCCTAATGAAAATGATAACGAGATACAACCAGATATTTCATTAGCGGCATATACCATATCGAATAAATTTTTACTTCAGACCTAAAAAATAAATAATACAATTAATTTGAAAATATTTATTAAGTAAATAATAAATATTTTAAAAATATCAATTTTATGTTTTTTTTACGTGGAATTCTTGTTACAAATTACAAAATTTCCAATTCAAATAAATGGATTAATATTATGAATAGATAGTTAGTAAATAGATCAATTAAATAACAAAATAATAATTTGGTATACTACACTATTCTGTATTATACTGCACTACAATATATGTTATAGAAAATTTTTTGTGTCAGAGACTTTATATGTTGAAACGAAGCAAAGTCCGTGTTTCAGTTTTGACTTGGTATTGTCGTCCATTAATATACATATTTCGATATCATAAAAGTGCTTATTACAATATATTATATGATTCGAAATATTTTTAGTAGGTGGGAAGTACCAAACAACAAGTGTGAATCTTAAGAAATGTCGTTGTGGATTCGTTGGACCTGGTCTCTAAAAACATGAGAAGGTACAATATATAGAAAGAATTGTGCAAAAATATTATATATATCTTAGGTTGAAGTAATAATTTTTAAGTAAATTTTAGTAAAATACAAAATAAGTCTTGAGACTAGTTTGTTTTAGGCGATTTAAGTTTAATCTGTTCTAGTAATCTTTTTAATTTAAAATCTTTATATCTCTGTGTTTAGATAGTATATCAATATTTGTAAAATTTTGTTTTTGTAAAAAACGGATTTAGAACATTTTATCCTTGAAATATTGAAATATTTGTAAATAATCTTTAACTATAACACCGATACTTAGGAATTTAATTTGCACCACTACAATAACAAATAACAGAAATAATAGATTTTTAAAGTTTCATTCAGATTTTCGTGACATTTGCTGAATCCACTGCTATAAGACTGATTGTATTCTTAACTCTTCAAGTTAAATTAGGGGGATTAGTGAAGAAAAGAAACAAGAGCAAATTCTAATGAACGGCTTAACGCGCAACTCAAACAAGAGCAAATTCTAATGAACGGCTTAACGCGCAACTCAAAAATAAAATGATAAATTTTAGCAAACGCATCATATGTGCAGGTATGATTAAATGAAAAGAAAATTTCAAGAACACGAAGCTTAAGTCGGCAATAAACCATCAAAAGCAATGGATCTGGCTTAGTAGACAACATTCCATTAATGAATGGATAATTATTGATATCTGTATTATTTTTTTCTTAACTTCTAACTCTCTTCTTTTCGATGTGTAGTAGGTAGCACATACAGCCGGTATGTAGGAAGTACTTATGGACTTAAACGTAGTTACGCCCATGTATTAAATAGTGTTAACTAGTTCTTGTTCTTGTAATATATATAGCATTGATATAGAGTATTTGGTATTTCGTACTTACAACCTTAATAGAAAATATTTATATATTCCTCTCGCATGACTTTTTAAAAGTATAAAAGAGGGACACAACACCTCAGACCTTATCAATCACAACTCAACGTGAGATAATTAAAGAGCTCCAAATCTGATACCGCTATTTACATTTTCATTAACAATAATTTGAATAGAAATTAAATAATGGCTGAAGTATTCGAATCTAAGTTTTCAATTCGTTCTATATTATCGGACACAAAGTCCTCTTTGGAGATAGAAAGTAAAACTACGACGGAAGAATGGGCCATAAGTTCATGTGATATTACTTCTTCAGATGAAACATTATCGGATGAATCTACATTCACTATTGAGAAACCAGCGTATACATACAGTTCACTGATTGTTATGGCCATACGTAGCAGTCCTGATAAACGTTTAACATTGGGCGGGATATGTGAGTGGATAGCTAATAACTTTCCGTACTATCAAAATAACAGAAACAAGTGGCAGAATTGCATTCGGCACAATCTAAGCTTGAATAAATATTTTGTGCGAATACCTCGAGCGTTAGATGATCCAGGACGCGGTCACTATTGGGCAATAGATCCATCAGCGGAAGACGTAACTATTGGGGAAACCACTGGCCGCTTACGTCGGAATAATAATTCAACGTTAAATGATTCAAGAGCAACTTTACATTGCGGTGGTGGTTACTCGTACGGACATCCTTATCACCAAAGCAACACAATACCGTTTAACTCTCATTACTCTCCAAATGCTGTGTATTTTCCGACTCCAGAAGAAGTTCGTTTTGTACAAGAAGCTGTACTACAAAAACAACAAGCTTTAAACAACTTTCACCCCCAGCTCCGAACTGAAGACCAAATTGCAGTACAATATCAATTTCAAGTTCAACAAACACTTTCTACTGAGTGCGGGTGCAATCTCCAACAATGTACTATGTATGGGGGACTTCCAATGTAATATAATTCAAGGAAATAATTTTTTAATTTATTTATTTCATAAA